AAATAAAATAAATTTTTTAATTTTACTAATTACATAAATAATTGAAATAAAATATTTATGTATATATATTTTTTAGAATTTTAAATAAAGTAAATGTACAAAAAAATCTATCACAATTCCTCTAAATTTTATGAATGAAAAACAAATGAGTAGATGAGACTCTATCTCCCTTCATTTCCTTCTCTCCCTATTAAAATAAGTAATCCAAAAAAGAAAGGAAATGATTTATCCCTCACTCTCATCTCCTTCTCCTTCAACTCCTCCAATCCAAACACATACTAAAGGCAGGTTATATAAAGCCTAATTTGGTAAAATATAATTTGATTTGTCTATCATGAAAAACTGTTTGTAGCTAAACTCTCATATTTTTATTAAAATGAATAAAAATGAAAAATTACTTTTAAAAATTGAAATTTACAAAAGATAATCTTGCTAAAATGCAGGGTGCCAGCACTAAATTAGGTCAATAGGAGGAAGAAGAAAACCAAATTCTACACATTCTCCTTTCTACACTTTTCAACTTGAGGAAGAATTCCATCATTATGTCTATTTTCCCAATAACTCTCCATTTTTCTTTCCTCTTCACCAGAACTTTGAAGATTTTTCCCTCCAAAAGAGCTATCGACAAATAAAAAAAAAGTTTCTGCAGCAATCATATCTTCTTGGGGGAGTGTCTTCCCTGTTTCTCAGACATGGGAATTGAAGGGGGTTACAGTCCCTTCACAGATTTGCGAAGATAAATACATTTTTGCCTTTTTATTTGGCATTTATCATCTTTTGTTATTATTCTGTGATTTTCTCTTGATCGTGAAGGAAAAAGTGGCAAAAATGATTCAGTAAAGACAAGTTTCCTGCCTTGAAGGTGCTGCAAGATGTTTACTAATATCTCAAATAACATTATCCCAAAGATCTGCTCTTGGTAAAGTATTGGAGCATTTAGGAGCATTTTGCTTTGAAGATTTGTTTCCCACTTTGAGATGGATGGATATTCTCACTGGGTTTTCTGGAAGATTGGAAGGCACTTTTAAAGTATTCGATGGCTTCCTAGATCAAGTCATTGAAGAACATAAGCTTTTGAAGATTGAAGGTGAAACGGAATAATCTGATTGGAAGAACTTTCTAGATATCCTTCTTGATCTTCAGAAGGATAACAACCTTGGGATTACTCTAACTCAAAACAATATTAAAGCACTCTTATTGGTCTCTCCCCCCCTCCCTCCCTCCCTCCCTCCTCGTGCCCTCTGTGTGTGTGTGCTTATATATGATAAGACATGATTTAGGCTCTTCCATTTTTGTTACAGGTACTTTTTCTTTCATTGATTGTTTAAGATTCTATCTCTTTTATTTATCCTTTTATTGCAGGAGATGTTTGTTCCGGGGGGGTGGAACTGATTCTGTTGCTGCAACAATGGAATGGGCAATGGCAGAACTAGTGAAAAATCCAAAAGTAATGCAAAGGGCCCAAGAAGAGGTAAGAAGAGTTGTTGGAAAGAAACAGAAAGTAACTCAAGACTGACATTAACCAAATGGAGTACCTCAAATGCATCATCAAAGAAAACTTTAAGACTACTTGTCATTGGCATTTCTCCTCGAGTTGCACGCACATGAGCTAAGTTCGGAGGATACGAGGTTCATCTGGTGACAGGCATGAAGAGTTCCTCCCTGAAAGATTCACCAACAATGAAGTCAACTTCAAAGGAGAGCACAATCCTTATACTCCATTTGGTTATGGAAGAAAAGCTTGCCAGGGAATGTCACTTGCTGTTGCAGAAGCTGAATATATGTTGGCTAATGTCTTGTATTGGTTTGATTGGAAGTTGCCTAATGAGGCAGCCACAGAGGACTTAGACATGACTGAGCATTTTGCCATAGCCGTCCACAAGAAAATTCCTCTCCAGCTTGTCCCTGTGTCACCTGTTTCATCTGTTTGAAGGACGAGGCCCCTTCTGATTTTCCTGTTTTCACTTTTCTGAATCAGTACTCTTTTGCTCTTACTGTTGTTAGCAGGTAAGTACTTAAATAATCCCTTAAAGCTAATGTCGTTGGTTTAATTGAATTTGTTGCTAGATATTTTGACGGTAATAAATGTAATTATAGACTTCTAGCTTGCATTTGCCAATAATACTATTCTGTTTTTTTATTGTGATTATTTTTGGATCAGAAACATGCATATTACATCATATAGCTTGCATTTTCTTCAAAGCATTCTGTTGTGAGAGATCGCATAATGATAAATAGCAATTATTGTAGAAACTTGAAGCTTGACTTAAATTTTTTTTTGAACAGCAAGCTTGACTTAAATTAAGGTGGATAGGGAGAGAAGCTGTAGAAAAGAATGAAACTGTTATTAGGAATGCAATATGAGTATTGAAATTACTAAAATTTCATTAAAGAAATAACAAAGGGAAGATATTCATTAAAGGGAATTTTGGCAAATTCATAAAAAGTGTAGTTTGATCTGAAAAACACTTAAAAAAAAAAAAACCCAAAAAGCAGAAGAAACCCTCTGAAGAAGACTGCAGAGCACCACAAAATGGAAAAAGGGATCAAAACTTGAACATTCCAATCCACTAACATACAAATTTAGTCAAAAATACTTCTGTACGTACATGCGTCAATAAAATCTTAGATGCTTATATAATTTGGACCCGTTCTCATATGCATTACATTGGATCAGAAGCCTCATCAATGATAAAATTAAAAATTAGTTCCATGAAAAATCAGGAGTACTCAAAGCACAAATAGATAGGTCTCTGTAGTCTCACAGCGAGTGCAGAACAGAATACAACACCAAAAGAAGGGAGGGAATCAAGAGGCTCCCAATATAGCATCCAGTTGTACTGGAACAATCAGACGATAAACTAGAAAAATAGTTGATACTTATTTATGACTAACTTAGTATGGTAATGAAATTTATTCTTCTGTTACTATATCAGGCATCATAGATCTCTCTGAATCTGGTTTTTTAGATATTTACACAGCATCTACTGTTATTGCCACATGATTAGTGCAACTAATTCAATTGTTAATTCATGAACTACGAGGTAGTTTTGATTCCATGTGGGGTTATGTTACAAGAGGTATACATAATTTTGTTCTTATGTATATTTTGAATTTATGATCAGTGACTTTAGCATCATGTTTAGTTCAACTAATACAATTTTTATTCCATGAATTGTATGATTGTTACTAAGTGGGGTTGATCGATTCATGTTAATTATTAAGTATGATCCAACTAACATCGTACCACTTTAAGTTAGTATATATATCTTAAATTTCATGGTAGATAAAAGAATAAGAAGTCAGTATGGATTGATTTCTGCAAGATCTGCTTAAAACCTTTTCCGTTCATCCCTTCATCTTCTCTTTTCTTCTATGCACACTTTTTCATTTTCTTAAGCTTAATAGGAATCCGAGGCTCAGTTTGCCTCCATCCTCATCAAAGCTACCATTTATTGGGAACCTTCATCAATTGGGTAAACTTCCCCATCAGTCTCTCCAGACCCTTTCTGAGAAGTATGGTCCTTTGATGCTCCTTCACTTTGGTACTGTTCCAACTCTAGTAGATTGTTCTGCTGAAATGGCTCAAGAGATCATGAAGAAGAATGATCTTGCTTTTGCAAACAGCCCTGCCTTGAAGGCTGCAGAGGTTATCTTCTATGGATACACTGATGTCAGTTTTGGTCCTTATGGTGAATAATTGAGGCAGGTAAAGAAGATTGCTGCTGTTGAACTTCTGAGCCAAAAAAGAGTGGAGATGTTTCAGGTTGTGAGGGAGGAAGAAGTGGCAAAAATGATAAATGAGATACAAATTTCATGTCTCAATGGAGCAGCTGTAAATCTCAGCAAGATGTTTGTTAAGGATGCAAACAACATATCTCGAGATCTACCCTTGGAAAATTTTATGGAAAAGAATATGGTCATGAGGATTTAGGATAACTGTTGAGGAGGGCAATGGGTCTTCTACTAGTCTTTTGCTTTGAAGATACCTTTCCCTCTTTGCGCTGGATAGATATTCTCACTGGATTCAGAAAACTTGGAAAGGACTTTCAAAACCTTAGATCACTTCCTAGATCAAGGGATTGAAGAACATCAGCTTCCGAAGAATGGTCCCAAAAAATCTGATCAGAAGAACTTCATAGATATCCTTCTTCATCTTCAAAAGGATGACATGCTTAGTATTAATCTAACTCAGGACAACATTAAAGCAATCCTTATGGTCTCTCCCTTTCTTTTACTCACTCTTTTTATTACATAACATATTGTTCATTCTCATTATTTAAGGTCTAACTCTTTTTAGTTCTTTTTTTTAACAGGGCATGCTTATTGGGGGAACTGAGACTGTTGCAGCAACAATGGAATGGGCAACGTCGGAACTTATGAAAACCCAAGAATCATCAGGAAAGCTCAAGAAGAGGTAAGAAGAGTCATTGGGACGAGACAAAAGGTAACTGAGGATGATCTTAGTCAAATGAGGTGCCTTAAATGTATCATCAAAGAGATTGAAGCTGTGTACTCCTGGTTTTTTCATTAGAGAAGCGCATAGCAGAACTGAAGTGGGAGATTATGAGATCTATCCCGGAACAAGAGTCTTGATAAATGTATGGGCAATTCAGAGAGATGTTAAGTTTTGGGAAAGACATGAAGAGTTCATCCCTGAGAGATTTTCAGATAATGAGTTTGACTTTAGAGGAGGACAGAAGCAGTATAGCCCATTTGGTTGTGGAAGAAGGGCATGCCCAGGGATGTCATTGCCCTTGTGGAAGCTGAGTATATGTTGGCCAATCTATTGTGCTGGTTTAATTGGAGGTTGCCTAATGGGGCAACCATTGAGGATTGGGACATGAGTGAGTGTAGACTTGGTAAACGGGCGGGTTGGGTCGGGTTAGGATTGGGTCAAAATGGGTTGGGTTAAAATGAGTTACGAGTCAATGAAGGTAAACCTTAAGCCGCCCATTACAAGTCACGGGTCAACCCACGGGTCAACCCATGGGTCAACCCAATTAAAATTTTTTTTTCTTTATAATTTATACCTATTATCATTTAAAAAAATTATTCAAAAGATTTAAAAAAGAAATTCTACATCTTATAAAAAGAATTTTTTTCACATTAATTTAATGTATATATATTTATAGTTCTTTAGAATCATTTTTCTCCACCTCCCTTCAAATAACAACATTAATCAAATTCAAGAACATCACAGACTTATAAATCTCAATAGCAAAAAAAAAAAAGAAAAAAAAGAAAACTGTAGTAGCATGACAACCAAAAAACATAAACCCCATTGGAACATATTTGTTCTGGTTGTTGCTTTCAAAGAATCAATCAATTAAATGCATCTAAGAATCAATCAATTAAATGCATCTAAGAATCAATCAATTAAATGCATCTAAGCAAAGGATAAGATCAAGTAGAATTTATACTTGGAATGGAGAAAAAACTAAAAAACATAAATAAGTAAATAACTTATCTTGAAGGCTTTAGAGAAAGAAGTTGGTGACAAAGAGAGCACTTGTCAAACTCGAAGGAGAAAGAAAGAAAGGGCTAAGTGGATGTGATGGTAATATGGTGAGACTAAGATCTAAGTTTCAGATAATGTTAAAGACTAAAGAGAAAAAATGGAGTCGAAGCTTGAACGTCGAAGATTGTATGGACTATGGAGGTTGAAGAATATAAAAAGAGTTTGAACTTTGAAGAGTTAGAGTCTTAGAGAGTATTAGGGCAAGCAAGAATAGGAAAGGTCAGGAGGTGAGTCATAAGTGAAGTGAGATGATTTTTACTTCTAGAATATGATGATTTAAGAGAATCAATTAGTTAATTAGAGAAAATTAGTCAATTATTAGAGGATTAAGTGGGATTGGAAATTGAATATTGAAAAACAAAATAAATAAATAATAAATTAAAAATTTTTAAATTTTTAGATGGGTAAATTAGTCAAATCCATTAACCCGGTGGGTCAACCCGTTATTGACCCATGACCCGTTGGGTTCTCTTAACAGATCATTAACGGGTTACGGATCATAAATATATGACCCTAACTAGTTTTAAACGAACGAGTAACGGGCAAGTTAGTAGGTTGGGTAAAAAATTACCAGGTCTAACTGAGTGTTTAATTTTGGTTGTCCACAAGAAAATTCCTCTTCATCTTGTACCTGTAACACCCTTTCCATCCA